AAGTGTGATAAGTTGTAAGGAGCAGGTAATCCCAAATGGATCAAAAACACTGTACATACGGGAAGACGTTTGGAACACTGAGCAAGAAGCCGACACTCAAGCATATATTTCTTCAATATAGAAGAGTTAGGTTATTCCTGTAAACCTCTTTATGAATTGAACATCTAAAGGCTCTTTACCTAGATTGACCTTAGGTTCCTTCATGCATTCATATCATACTGAAATAATTGTTTTATCAAATATTGGCTAAGTATGAAAAATGTTTTTCCAAATATTTATTTCATCAAAATAATTTTTGGCGGCTTTTATTCCTTATACTTCAAATAAGAAAACTTGATTTTATGGGATTTTAATATGAAGTATATTTTGACTTAATGAACCATCCTTTTTAGCATAAATCGTATTTTGCACTAGAACCAATTTTTCATATCTCGAATTTACATTGATTTTCTAGTATTTTTATTTGAATCCAAATGGGGGGTACTTCCTTATTTACATTGTAAACTTAAGTAAATGGAGTAATATAAAAATAAATTAGAGTAAAAGGAGAAAGACATTTACTTGAATGTTGAAAATGGAAATAAGCTAATTTGTGCACTGTGCAAACAGGAATTAAGCTGAATATTTATTTTTCAACGAATCTGTTTCTTTCAACAGATATATATTTTCAAATAGCTATAATTTTAATGCCTAATTTTCAGCTATCATCCTAATTACAGCTGTAACCCTAATGACTATATTTTCAACGACTATATTTCTACACCTATAAATACGTAGGCAGATTTCTTGTAGAAAATAAACTGAAGATATTCATCCAAGCCTACAAGCATTCATCATACTCTAAATTTCATTTTCTCTTGAGCCAATCCTGTTCAATTTCATACAAGAGTTCTAGTGTTCAAATTCCTTTTGTATTATCTACTCAGAAAGGAGAGTTTCCATTGTGTGAGCTTCAATTGTATATCCCTCTCAAATAGGAGAGACTTTTTATGTTCCGAGATTGATTTCCATTCAAACTTGTAAAGAGGGTTGGTTTGACCCTGTGAGGTGAGAAGGGTGTCTTTCACCTTGAGCGAAGGAGTGGTGTGCTCTAGCTTTGTAAAGGTTTCAACTCCACCTGCAAGGAGTTTTTCAACATAGTGGATCGAACTCTCAAGTGGTGTGCTTGAGGACTGGACGTAGGTCAGGAGGACTGAACCAATATAAATCTCGGAGTTTGAATTTCTCTTTCCCTATCTCTTTATTAGTGTGCTTGTCAATTTACTTATCCGCGTTTAAATTTAAATTTGCTATTAACCTTATTCCCCCTCCCCTCTCTAAGGTTGATTCACTGGGCAACACTCTCTGCTCTCTCTTCTCTCCTATTTCTTCCTTCTCTTCTTTCTTTTCTCTCTACTGCTGGCTCTCTTTCTTTTTGCGTTTCTCTTCTCATTTTTTTTTATCTTAGCAGAGGAGTGAAGGTGCCTATTTATGGCTGAAATCTTGAACTGTGGACTGCACCTGTGGATGTGCAGTTCTTCATCATGTGAGTGGAGGGAATGAGATAAACTCTCATGTAACACGGATAACACTTTTTGCTATTACCGGCCAATAATGCAATGACACGTATGATAATTTTTCCACATGTAACGTGGATAACACTTTTTGCTATCCCCGGCCAATAATGCAATGACACGCATGATAATTTTTCCACATGTCATTGTGTTTTTGATTGGCAGACAAACCATCCCCCAAAGTCTTCACTGGTGGGCTCCATCACTTTACAACAATTGGTATTTGGTACAAATTGAGACCAAAGTCAACAAACCCCACACGGACTCAACCATTAGAATAGTTTCAGTTTGGTCAAAGAATGGACTTACCGAACTGTTCTTTACCTTGAGCTTTCCGTCTAAAGAAATCCATATCTTGTCATGTGTAATCTAAATTCTGCTACTACAGAACATTTGGGAGTTTGTTGAATGCTTTTTATAATTCCATTGTAATATATCTCCTGATTAATGTCGATTGGTGTAGTGATAGCAGTTTTTGCCATAGGTTTGGGTAAGATCTATCCCTCTCCCCGTTTGCTTTCTGTTTTCTGCTTTGGTTTGTTGTTAATTACTTGTTGATCTTTATTTCATTTTAGAAAAGCAACAATTGTCAAGTGCTAATGGCTTTTCATTGATTTTTAAATTATGCAGGAGTCCTCTTAGTGAAGATCGTTATAGTGGTTCTCGACGATCGTTATAGTGAATTTCGTGTGCCTGAAAAGAAGTCAGACAGGCAGCCCCGACTTCCGGACACTCACAATGGACAAGTTTCTAAATGATATGGAAAGAGAGAAGCCCATCAGGTTCACTTCTCAACAACTTCAGATTGCAACTGATAACTTCACCAACTTGTTGGGGCAAGGAGGTTTTGGTGCAGTTTATAAAGGGATATTTTGTAATGGAACCCTTGTAGCAGTGAAGGTTCTAAATGGGAGCTCAGACAAGAGAATCGCGGAACAATTTATGGCGGAAGTTAGTACAATTGGAAGAATTCACCATTTCAATCTGGTCCGTCTTTATGGCTTCTGCTTTGAAAAACACCTCAGAGCACTTGTCTATGAGTACATGGGAAATGGATCGCTTGACAAGTTCTTATTTCATAGCAACAAGGACTTAGGATTTGAAAAGCTTCATGAAATTGCGGTGGGGACAGCGAGAGGGATTGCTTACTTGCATGAAGAATGCCAACAACGAATAATCCATCACGATATAAAGCCTGAAAACATTCTTTTGGATGTAAATTTCTTTCCAAAAGTAGCTGATTTCGGTTTGGCCAAGCTCTGTAACAGGGATAATACTCATATAACCATGACTGGGGGGAGAGGCACTCCTGGTTATGCTGCACCGGAAGTATGGATGCGGCTTCCTATAACACACAAATGTGATGTTTACAGCTTTGGGATGCTATTGTTTGAGATCATAGGCAGGAGAAGGAATCTTGACATTAATATTCAAGACAGCCAAGACTGGTTCCCAAGGTGGTTTTGGAAGAAGTTTGAGCCTGGAGAACTAGGGGAGATAATGGTAGTCTGCAGAATAGAGGAGAATTGGCCAAGCTCTGTAACAGGGATAATACTCATATAACCATGACTGGGGGGAGAGGCACTCCTGGTTATGCTGCACCGGAAGTATGGATGCGGCAACTGATAACTTCACCAACTTGTTGGGGCAAGGAGGTTTTGGTGCAGTTTATAAAGGGATATTTTGTAATGGAACCCTTGTAGCAGTGAAGGTTCTAAATGGGAGCTCAGACAAGAGAATTGAGGAACAATTTATGGCGGAAGTTAGTACAATTGGAAGAATCCATCATTTCAATCTAGTCCGTCTTCATGGTTTCTGCTTTGAGAAACACCTCAGAGCACTTGTTTATGAGTACATGGGAAATGGATCGCTTGACAAGTTCTTATTTCATAGCAACAAGGACTTAGGATTTGAAAAGCTTCATGAAATTGCGGTGGGGACAGCGAGAGGGATTGCTTACTTGCATGAAGAATGCCAACAACGAATAGTCCATTACGATATAAAGCCTGAAAACATTCTTTTGGATGCAAATTTATTTCCAAAAGTAGCTGATTTCGGTTTGGCCAAGCTCTGTAACAGGGATAATACTCATATAACCATGACTGGGGGCAGAGGCACTCCTGGTTATGCTGCACCGGAAGTATGGATGCGGCTTCCTATAACACACAAATGTGATGTTTACAGCTTTGGGATGCTATTGTTTGAGATCATAGGCAGGAGAAGGAATCTTGACATTAATATTCAAGACACCCAAGACTGGTTCCCAAGGTGGGTTTGGAAGAAGTTTGAGCCTGGAGAACTAGGAGAGATAATGGTAGTCTGCAGAATAGAGGAGAATGATAAAGAGAGGGCTGAGAGAATTGTAAAGGTTGCTCTTTGGTGTGTCCAGTATATGCCTGAGGCAAGGCCTTCGATGAGTGTTGTGGTGAAAATGTTGGAAGGAGCTATTGAGATTCCTAGACCTTCAACTAACCCGTTTCAGCACTTGATATCGGATACTTCATACCCAACTGCACCTGTCTATGATACTTCAAATGGAACACATAGCACTAGCGCTTTTGGTTCGGATCCCTCACGAACGGTAACTGGATACACCGTTGTGCATGGAACTCCTATCATGACGAAATATGAGATTGAAATAGCGTCTACCTAGGAAGGCTGAAGTACATTCCTCACTCTCTCTCTGTCTCTCTCTCTGCTCTTGAAATATGTCATAAAAACATCTCCTTCTGCACGTCATAGTGCTTCTTCATATGTATCATAGCATTAAGTTAAGGGTTAAAGTTACATCTGTCCGGAATGAATAAAAAGTTTGTAAATTTTGTAGAATTGATTACAATATATTGATGTGATTCTAAAATGTGCTATTTCTTTCACTGTGTCGATATTGAATCGTTTCTGATTAAGTTGATGGAAATTGGAAAAGAACCTTCTTTGGCATAACATATATTCTTTGCAAAGCTGTAAAAACATGTAGCCATAGCAAGGTTGGTTAAAAATCATTCTCATCTTCTGATGCCTTCCATATATTTCTTGAAAACATGACAACATTTTATGATTAGTATTAAGAAAAGAACATGAGAGGTCTTGTTTCTGCTGAATAATGCACAACAGAGCTACCAAAAACATCCTCTCTGCTTTTTCCTTTCATTTTCTTCGATCCCACCAATACGTAATACTTTTGTTTATTTTTAAAAAAATGTCCCTTTCTTATTTGCTAAAAGAACATACACCGTCAAGCACGTAGTTCGCCTTTATCCTTTTCTTTGTCACATTGCGAAGAAAAATAGGAACGATATAAATTCCATTCATTCATGAGTTTTTAAATGCAATTTTTATTTCATGTTTTAAATCTAATCAATATATTCCAAATAGATATGGATTTAGGAAGATATAATCATTAATTTGCATGAAAGAAGGAACAATTCTTTAAATTATACTACCAGACAAATACTTATGTTGTTACACTATTAATTTGGACGACACATTTAGGTAAGAATAAACTTGATGCTTAGATTGCATTGACAAAAGTAACAACGGGCTCTTAGTATGTGAAACCTCTCTAAGTACTTCTCATTTTTTATGTATCATTATTTTGATGAGTTTTTATAAAATAAAAAATAGCTAAAATTTACACCCAATTTTTATAAATGTCAGTTTTTAATAAATTTTTTCAAAAATAACAAAATACTCACCTAAATAGACTCAAATGCCCTCAAAACTAAAACCCACATAAACCTAAAAAATAAAATAAGTCTCCGGGGAAGTTAAGTCAAAATCAAAAGAAAAAAAGAAGAGAGAAAATCAAATTGCCTAGTTTCTTTAATTAAATTTTGGGGAACAAGCTTCCCCTGTATTTTGGCTTCACTTGTAAATGTCAGTGCTATTTTAGATTTTACTCTAAATTTTTACTGGTGTGGAAGGTTATATTTTCTAGGGAGATTCACTATTATATCCAATATAGGAGCCCAAATTTAAAAAAAAATCCTATATGAAATGGACTTTAGACACACACCCAAAGCTCATTTACAATATAACAAAAAGGTTTTTTAACTTCTTATTTTAATTTACAAAACTGCCATTGATTTCTTAAAACAAACTCAACCCCAAAACCTCATAAAAAAGCCCAAAACACTCAATAGGGCATCAAAGTAATTTAATAATCAAAATTAAATCCAATAGGGCCAACTATATTTTTTGGGTTTTTTTTGGGTTTGTTTATAGAAATTAAATGGTGTAGGGTTTATTTATAGTTTTAATGCTAAGAATGGGTATATGACTAAATATCTCTATTTTCTATATGTGCTGCAGATTGTAGATTATGGAAACTGAGCCATTTACTGATGTGTGCTTGATTAATACTTTTACATTCTAATAACTCTTCGTGTGCAGCAGATTCGCAAGGAAACAATTACACCAAGTTACTTGCGCCAAACAAGTTACTTGGTCAATGTTAAGCACATACTTGATTTCTTCTGGTGACTTTGCATCGCTTTGGCAAACTTCTGGCTGCCAAACAAGTAAATGTAGTAGAGCCCTCCATTTTTATTCCCTCTCTGTTCTTCAATTACTTTTTGTTGGGGAATAATCAGAATATAACCAAATAACATAATATAATAACACGAAAATAAATTTTATATATACTATTAAATCAAATTAATACAACAGGAGAATCAAAATAGAAAATACTGACTTGGTTGGTTGATAGAGTCCTGCAAAGTTGCAGTGTTCTTTAGACAGTATTTTTCCTCCACCCCTTGTGCTTGTACTGCCCATCAGGATTAAACTATCACAAATCAAAGTCTAAGCATAATCGCTTTGATTTATGGCGAAGAGTGGTATGTTTTTCTCTCAAGAAGTGAGTATTTGTGGAGAAGTGATAATGTGATTCCAAAATTCTATATCCCGCTTAAATGAATTGTCTATTATATAGAGGTCTGATACGTCTTCATCCAATAATTAAAAAAAATTAATTTAATCAACATAGCCCAAGAGCCCCAAGGCCCATATTTTGACAATTATATATATATATATATATATATATATATATATATANNNGAGAGAGAGAGAGAGCTTTCATTGATGGATCCCTTAAATAAGCTTATTTGAGGAATACCCTTGAAGGGCCCACTCCGCTTTGTATTTTACTAATCCAAATCGTCTATTTTTTATATAATCATTCAAAGATCATCTCTACAAAAAATCATTTGAATCTGATATCATTTGACCACTCAATTGAGTTATTGAAATTTTAGTACTTTCTTGAAACACCGTGTTCATTGATTTTGTAGGACACAATTGGATGTCCAAACAGTTTCTAATTTGTCTAATTCTTTGTAAGGATGATCTATGAATATAAACTTAAAAAATAAATGGTTTGGATCGTTGAAAAAAAAGTTTCAGCGTATCCTAAAGGGTGTCCCTCAAATAAAATGATTTGAGGGATCCCTCAATAGAAAGAGACTATATATATATATTTCAAGCCCAATCCAAAGTTGTGGCCCAATTTTCATTTCACTAGGCCCACTTTTTATTCAGCGTTTCAAATGAGTTGGTGCTTATAAACCATGTGTGAAACCTACTCTCTTCCAATGTGTGACAAAGTGAAAGTGTTTTACTATACAAACCCCAACACTTTTCTTCTTCTTTCTTTTTCTCTTTTTACT